TTTGCATAAAAATTAACTGGGGTGCTCATTAAAGGCCAGATTTCCAGGATCCAGGCTCAGAGACTCTAATGTAGTTTAGGGCAGGGAGGCCAACAGTGGCACCAGCACTTCACAGCCACCCCTGGCCCCCAATTATTCTCATGAAAGTAGTCAATGTTTGAAAAACTTTAGAGAAGGAAATACATTTTAAGCTGCGTGTATGTGCATTTACAAAGGTTCAGCAACAACTTCTTAAAAGAACCAGTCAGAGACCACCACAGAAATGAGTACCACCAGATTTGCACCCAAAGCCTGACACATGCTAAGCAAGAGCTCTGCCACTGAGCTTCACTCCTAGCTCCAAAACCTGAAATTTGAGTGCTGCATTTCGAAGACAAAGGCTTAGGCTGGGGAGATAGCTCAGTAGAATAAGTGCTTGCCTGGCAAGCCCAAGGTCCTGAGTTCAATTCCTAGCACAAAAAAAAAAAAGACAATAGATTCATGTTGCTTAAAAAAAAATCTTACCACTATAGCAAAGGGGACCTTTCTCTTACATTGGATTCCTGGCTATGTCCTTCACTGTGGGCAAAGGAACAGGAGTTGCCTCCCAAAGTCACCATCCATCTCAGCCATTTACCATTTCTCAGGTAAAGAACAGAATGTGTATTCACATATCCTGGGTCTTGTTTTGGAAACAGTACATAAAATCCTGAGAAGCAAGTCTACCTGGGTTACACCTGCTTTTCTCTGAAACTTGGTCGGTTATCCTAAGCTCTTAGTACCTCCATTTCTCTATGATGCCTACCTCCCAGGATTAAGGAATAAAAGGTAGTTCCTTCAGTTATATGAGGCTCTTTGAGCATATAAAAAGCCCAAGCTAATCCAGGTTGTTACTACCACTCTGTAAATGGAGGCTGTCTTCCCTGTGCTCAACCACCTGACAGATAGTGGTGTATTCCCTTCATGGCTATCCCAGACACGAAAAAGCGCTGTCCCCAATTTCCCATGAGGGGGCAGTAGAGTCCCACTTGTATTAAGACACTGACCTTCCTAACACTTCCCACTAAGATTGGTAGGACTGAAAATTGGCCACCAGAAACATATTTGTCTCCAGCCTGGGATCTCCTCTTAGAAGAGTGCCAGAGGCAGCCAGAAAATACCAGGGAGTTGCTGTTATACAAAAAAAAAAAAAAAAAAAAACAAAAAAAAAAACCTTTGGGGCTGGGGAGATAGCTCGGCAGCATAACCACCTGAATGGGCAAGTGCAAGGTCCCAAGATCCATCCCCACATGCCATGGAGGGCTGGGAAATGAGCATGGGGGGTGCACACCTGTAATCCTAGCACTGGGGACACTGAGACAAGAGGATCACTACAAGTCTCAACTGCATAGCGAGACCCTGTATTAAAACAAAAATCGTAAAACTACCTGTCTGCTTCACCGGCACCCTTGAGTGTGGTATCTGTCCCAACGAATCCTTGGGACAGCCAGGCACAGCCTCCTGCCCCGGTTCCCGTAGGCCCTTACCTTGACCAGCTTCCTTCATGAATGAGAACCACCTTTGACCGTCAACACCCAGGACCAGAAGGCAGAAGATGAGTCCAATTGAAAGCTTCATCCTGCTGCAGAGTCAAGCAAACAAGAAAGGATGCTACATCTGCTTTTACATTGTTAACGCTGACACATCCTTGCATTCCGAAAATAAACCTCACTCAGCTTTATGCACAAACCATCCTGTGAGGACACACAGAAAGGATTTCAGAACATCTGGTTTTCTGTTTTCATTCACCTCCTTAAAGTCTTAGAGTCTGAGATATCACATCTGGTAAGTCGCACTCCTCAGAACAGTAAGTGGAGGAAGGGCATAGAGGGAAGTGGGTGCAGCCCGAGGGCGCTGCTGCGGAGAGAGACCCTTCGCGTTGGAAGCTTCCACGGCTCACCTTGGGCTGTGTGATCCGCTGAGGTCGGGTGAAGCTACCTGCCCGAGCTGACTGCTGGCAGCTGAGGCTGGCGCTCTATATACTGGCGCTCTGCTCCTGAAGCCAACTATCTTCGCTCTTGCATAATCCCTCTGGCCAGGACTCAGCACCCAGAGCCACAGGGGTTTTGCCCCAACACAATCTGATTTTCCCAGATTGTGCAATCTGGGACTTTCAGACCTAGAGCAGGTTCGGATTTTCTGCTCATTTCCAGTCTTATTCTTTACTGGAAAAGGTTTCCTCTCTCTACAAAATATTTACCTCCAATTTGCTGGAAAGAGTAATCAATATCAGGAAAAGAAGTTTGAGTGTGTAAAGAACATGACAATCCAGCATAAGTGAAACAGTGGAGCTAACTAACTCCATGGCAAGGGACAGTTCAGAAGGAATCTGGAACCTTAGGCCAGAGTAGATAGAAAAGACAGAGGACTGAGAAAAAACAAATCTTTCGGTGTCCTTGCACATGGACCCTGGTCTGGGAAAAGAATCCTCCACACTGAAGTGGATGCCTGATCAGTCCTGTAGGCAGTCACATGCCCGTTACATTTTGAGGCTTCTACACTCTAGGAGCAATGTTATAGCAATTTTCTGAGTCATCAGAAACGGCCTATGCAATGATGAGCAGAAAATAGCCCTCCACCTGTTGGATTGTCAGAGTTGTACACCCGGGAAGAAAGCAGAGTGAGATGGGGATGGTACTGGAGTGCTGGAAGGACGTAGGTTAGAGAACACTTATTTTAACCAGAAAAGCAGGAGTGTGCTCTACTCTGAGTTTAGGGAGATTTCTTTGGGGGGGGGGAAGATTCATGCAGGTTCTAGCAAGGAGGTGGCATCCAGGGCCCACTCACCTGTCCCATCCATGCCCCTTCATCCAAAAGAAAAAGATTCAAAGACTATTAGATATCCTTGTACAAGGAGAACTCAGTATAGGAGAAAAATAGCTTTGAACCTGCTAGGTGACAGAAGAGTAGAATATGTGTCTCCTGCAATGCAAAATGAATCCCAAAGGATAAAAAATCTTAAGAGTAGAAAAGATTGATTGAGAGATAGCTCCTGAGAGTCAGGAGGGTTTCACAAGCAGGTTGTCACCAAGGCCCTTTGGCAGGGATAAGATACACAGCAAAGTCACAATGTGTGTACAACCTGGGTCAAACTAAAATCAACATATGGATTACAAGTATAGGTGTTTAGCTAACATCAATCCAATAGAGGAAGCCAGGCACATAGCAACAGTCCATGGAAAGAACAAAGGCGATTTGGGAACAGATAATCTAGGTGTTCTGCTCACCTGCCTGGGATATTGATGTCTGGCTGGACCAGGTGATAGCAGTCACAGTATAGTCTCAAGCCACCATTCACCTCAGGCAGCCATGTAGCCCGGGCACTGCATCTTTGCCTTGAGGCCTGGCCTTCAGCACATGCACTTCCGGCCTCACTTGGGCTGGGTCTCCTCTCCTGCAGACTCCCTCACCGGCCTAGTCCTGTCTGACTGCCCAACAATTTCCACCTAACCTAGCTGCCTATGATGGAATGATGTGTGTGTCACAAGACAGAGACAATGCGGGAAGACAGCCAACCTGGTCCTTCTCGCAGTGGGAGCCTGGGCTGAAGGTGGGGTCACTATGTGCTCAGCAGGACAACAGTTGGATAGAGTTTATTTTACACTGCAGATTACAAACACTCTTTTGTTTAGTTTATCCCTCTTATTTGAGTGCACTAAGGTGCCTGTCACCTGGATAAGACTGGCATGTTGACTCTATCAAAAGTAGCTGGATGATTGAGCCTGAATGGTAACCAGAACTATAACATAGAATTCCAAACTTCCCTTCCTCTCCTTGTCCCCAAGGAAATGGCACAATACGCAGATGCCAACCCCACAAGGCCAGGAACCTGGTTTGTTTTCTATAAAAAAGAAGAGCATGAAGTAAAGATGGTGGGAAATTATAAAGCCAATAGAGAGCTCTGCATTGTCCCTGCGCTCCCCTCTTAGTCTTTACCTCCTATAAACCAGACCCTGGCCCTCCTGTAAATCAGGGATGGTGATTTGAAGTCCCGGGGTCCCTCCATCTCCTTGGAGCCAGCTTTGAATAAATAATTTTTCCTTTTCAATTAAATATATGATTGTTTTCCTTTGATTTGGCCAGCAGTGAGTAGAAGAACCTGGGCATATGAGGCTAAGCTGCCAGCAACAGTATTGTGACACCTTATTCTATTCCCTTGTGACTATTCAGTGCTGGAAACTCCCCAATTCTGACTCATTCAAGTCACTTTGGTATTTTGCCAAACAATATTAGAGAAGAAGGAAATAAGAATTTTAGATACCAGGAGGAATTCTTTCTGAGAACTTCACAATCATTGAAGATTCTCTTGTTATTTAATGTGCTCTGCCTTCTGCGGAGAGATGCACAGCTCTGTGCAGGCATGCTTAGGGCAATTGGCAGTACTGCGCCCGGCACAAGAAACCCCATGGCATGTTGCTGTGCACAGCCTGGGGGGCTCTACCCTCCCTGTCTAGTCAAGTCTCCTGCCTAGCTCATGCTTGATCTCAGTTTATTCTTTTCTTCCCTCTGTTCTTGCAGAATCCTCACCACATCCTCTGCCTGGTACAGGCAAATTTTGCTCCTCCTGGGTCCTTACATTGCCTAGAGAGAAGTCACAAGAGGTAGGTGGACCTCTCTTTCACTAGTAATGTGGCTGGCTCTGAGAGCATAATGCCTGTGTGCAACCTGGGGGCAAGGCCTGCTCTTAAACGGACTGAGAAGGTTCAGACACAAAGAGGAGAAAGACTCATAGCCCCATACTTGATTTAGCACATACAGTTTTTCTCCACGATGCTATGAGACTGAAAGGAGGAAGGGGTGGCAGTTAGGAAAACTGCCAGAATGCAAATAATTTGCATGAGGTGATTTGGAAACTGCCGTGGATAAGAAAACACTGTTACTCAACATGTATGCTATTTGCAGGGAAGCATTCAGCAAGAGGGATTTTGGTCAAGTGGTTGTTGGATTTAAGACCTCTCTTGCCATCAGTGCTGATGCCAGGAGAGGTCAGCCTGTACTTCACAACAGCAAGGTATTGGTAGCCTCCCTTCCCTTGGGATTTCAGCTGGAGAAACCTCACAGGTGGTCCTCTTCCAG